CCGAAGAAGTTGCAGGAGCTTAAGGCGCAGATTCATGAGCTATTACGACTCGGTTTCATCCGACCGAGCGTGTCACCTTGGGGAGCGCCTGTTCTCTTTGTCAAGAAGAAGGACGGATCCATGCGCATGTGTATCGACTACCGGGATCTGAACCGATTGACGATCAAGAACAAGTACCCGCTTCCCAGGATCGACGACTTATTTGATTAGTTGAGGGGAGCCTGTGTGTTCTCAAAGATTGATTTACGATCAGGCTACCACCAACTGAAGATTAAGGAGTCAGATATCGCTAAGACCGCTTTCAGGACTCGTTATGGCCATTACGAATTCGTTGTCATGCCATTCGGTCTCAACAATGCTCCAACAGTTTTCATGGACCTCATGAACCGTATTTTCCATCCCTACCTCGATAAGTTCGTTATTGTCTTTATTGACGATATTTTTATCTACTCGAAGAGCCAGAAGGAGCACGAGAAGCATCTGAGGGTGGTTCTCAAAACCCTCAGACGAGAAAAGTTGTTTGCAAAATTCTCTAAATGCGAGTTCTGGCTCCAGTGAGTATCTTTTCTGGGGTCATGTGATTACTCAGCAGGTATTGAGGTGGATCCTTCCAAGGTCTCAGCTGTTCAGAACTGGTCGACACCGAGGAGTCCGTCCGAGGTTCTCAGTTTTCTCGGTCTAGCTGGCTATTATCGCAGGTTTATCGAGGGCTTTTCCAAGATTGCCCTCCCTTTATCCCAGCTAACGAGGAAGTCTGTGAGGTTCGAGTGGACTGATCAATGTGAGTCGAGCTTTCAGGAGCTCAAAAAGAGATTAACTTCAGCACCGGTGTTGACTATTCCCGATCCTTCTCGGAGTTTTACCATCTTCAGTGATGCTTCGAGACAGGGCTTGGGATGCATCCTTATGCAGGATGGCCAGGTCGTCGCGTATGCTTCACGTCAGCTTAAGCCGCATGAGCAGAACTATCCGACGCACGACTTGGAGCTAGCAGCAGTCGTTCATGCCCTTAAGATTTGGCGACATTATCTTTACGGCGGTCATTGTGAGACAGATCATAAGAGCTTGCAGTATATCTTTACTCAGAAGGAGCTCAACATGAGACAGCACCGTTGGCTCGAGCTCGTCAAGGATTATGATTGCTCAATTCAGTATCATCCGGGAAAGGCGAACGTCGTAGCGGATGCCCTAAGCCGAAAGGTAAGGGGTGACTTGACGTACGTCATTACTCAGTAGAGTCCACTGATTCAAGAGTTTGCCCGGATGCAGCTTCAGGCGATCGATGCGCTTCCCACAGCCGTTTCAGGGAGTGTCAGTGCCAGTGTCAGTGCCATGCAGCTTCAGCCGACGTTGAGAGAGAGAATCTGGCGAAAGCGGGCGTCTGACGAGTTCGTTCGTGTCATGGATGCCAAGGTTCGCGCCGGAGGCGTCGAGGGTTTTCAGCTAGGTGCCGATGGTGCCCTAGAGTTCAGAGGCAGAATCGTGGTCCCGAAGGTCGAGGCGTTGCGGAAGGAGATTTTATTAGAGGCTCATACCGCACCCTATCTAGCCCATCCCGGGAGCACGAAGATGTATCACGACCTGAAAGGGTCGTTCTGGTGGCGAGGCATGAAGAAAGACGTCGCCGAGTTCGTCAGGAGGTGTTTTACCTGTCAGCAAGTCAAAGCCGAACATCAGAGTCCGATCGGCCTCCTGCAGCCACTGCCGATTCCGAGGTGGAAGTGGGAGGAAGTCACAATGGATTTCGTTACGGGATTACCGAGGTCGTCTGAACATCACGACGCTATTTGGGTCGTGGTCGACAGATTGACTAAGGTCGCTCATTTCTTACCCGTTTTGATGAAGATGTCTTTGGACATGTTGGCTGAGATTTATACCCGTGGGATCATTCGACTCCACAGAGTGCCCGTTACTATCGTATCAGACCGAGATCCCAGATTCGTTAGTCGATTCTGGCACAGATTACACGAGGCAATGGGCACGAAGCTTGAGTTCAGTTCAGCCTACCATCCGGAGACCGACGGTCAGTCAGAGCGAACTATTCAGACGCTTGAGGATATGCTTCGCGCTTTGGTAGTTGACAGGGGTGCTAAGTGGGAGTCGTTGTTGTCGTACGCCGAGTTCGCGTATAACAACAGCTATTATTCTTCTATTCAGATGGCTCCTTACGAAGCACTTTATGGTCGCAAGTGTCGTTCCCCTCTTTATTGGGACGACGTTGAAGAGCGACGAGTACTCGGCCCCAAGTTGATCGTGGAGACAGCAGATCAGGTCTAGTTGATCCGGCAGAGACTCAAGACAGCACAGAGTCGACAGAAATTTTCAGCTGATCATCATCGACGAGACATTCAGTTCGAGGTTGGCGAGCCAGCTTTTCTCAGAGTTCGTCCGATTCGCGGAGTCGTTCGATTTAGAAAGAGAGGGAAGCTGCACCCTCGATTCATCGGTCCGTTCGAGGTTCTCGAGCGAGTAGGCGAAGTCGCGTATCGATTAGCCCTACCTCCCGAGGTATCAGGCATTCATAATGTTTTCCACGCTGTTAGAGGTATGCTGTAAAAGCTGTGTTTTGCAGTTTCTATCAATTCCATTTTGATCTGGCAATCATGTTTCGGTCAAAGTACATATGTTTGCAGTTTATTTATTTATGCAATAAATACTCCATGTCTGATATTGAGATAGTGTGGTTCGAAGATTTTCGAACAGAAAGATCACCTATCGGTTCCTTATAAGACTAAACCATTTGTTCACA